CTCCAACGCTGAGACTGCAGCTCTGCACAAGACTTTTGGCCAGTGGAGAAATTAAAATGGTCGTGCCAAACTGAGTCTGGTTTCTCTCAAGGTTTTTTTTTTCTTTACTCTCCTATCAGTGAAGTTTTTTTCCCTCGCCGCTGTCGCCACTGGCTTGCATGGTTCAGGATTGGTAGAGCTACGCATCGATGAATTTGCTCTTCAGTGTTTGAACTTTCAGTAATGACTTAAAACCACACTGAACTGAGCTAAACTGAAATGAACTTAAACACTTAATACTGAACTACCCTGATCCAGTTACTATGACCATTTAATGACACAATCTACATTGGAAAAGCGCTATACAAATAAAGCTGAATTGAATTGAATTAAAGAGATCTAAAATAAATGTTCAATTACAATTTACAGTTCAAATAGCTGCTCGGTTATTTACTGCTGTCATTAAAAGACCAGGACTCCTGGTGTCAGAGTGATTCTGAACAGCTAAGGGGAAACACTGAAGCTTGTTTTCCTGCAGGTGTCATTATGGTTTTATCACGTGCGATACAGTACCAGATGATGCCGCCGTAAAACAGGGAGAAGATGAAGTAGAAGGCGATGGAGCCCCACGTGACGAAGTGATTCATCCACGTCCAGAAGTGTGTCTCTAAGGCCAGCTGTGCAGAAAACACACACAGGTGAAGCTCACGGCTCACTCACACACACTCAAACATGCAGCATCTGTGTGTGAACGTACCTTCAGTGTTACCGTAATAACCATCACAGTGAATACTAAAGTGCCAAACGTCCAGTTTCCAAACATCTGCAGAGAAGACACAGATCTTAATGACAGTCTCCAGTTTTCAGCTCAGTTCAGCTCTTTGCTTTGTTAAGGAGGGCAGATGATGCGTTGTGGTTTTGCTTAAGTGTGACTTACAAATTAAACTTTCAAACTTTAAGTCTCATTTCAGTACAATTTTATATATTTTTAATATATTCCAAGAAAGTCAGTTAGCATAATGCTAATACAAAGGCAGATGTTACTAATGTAAGCATCTGCATTACAGTTTGAAATATTAGCATAAAGCTAATCTACAGGCAGATATTACTTCTGTAAACATCTGCGTCACAGTTTAAAATGTTAGCAAAATGCTAATCTAAAGCAGATATTACTTCCACAGATGTCTACTGCAAGATTTTAAATGTTAGCATAATGCTAATCCACAAACCGATCTTACTTCTGTAAACATTTGCGTCACAGTTTGAAATATTAGCATTATGCTAATCTACAGGCAGATATTACTTCTGTAAACATCTGCGTCACAGTTTAAAATGTTAGCAAAATGCTAATCTAAAGCAGATATTACTCCCACAGATGTCTACTGCAAGATTTTAAATGTTAGCATAATGCTAATCCACAAACCGATCTTACTTCTGTAAACATTTGCGTCACAGTTTGAAATATTAGCATTATGCTAATCTACAGGCAGATATTACTTCTGTAAACATCTGCGTCACAGTTTAAAATGTTGGCATAATGCTAATCTACAGGCAGACATTATTTCTGTAAACATCTGTGTCAGAGTAAAGACATATATTACTTCCTTAAACGTCTACATTCCAATTTTCAATATTAGCATTATGCTAACCTACTCTTATATCAGTTATCATGTTAATCTAGTATTGTTGTTAAACAAACATCAACGTCTGTAACAATTTAAAATACTAGCACAATGCTAATCCAAAGGCAGTCATTATTTCTGTATGTGTACGTCATAATGCTAAATATTAATATAATGTTAATCCTAAAGCATACATAACTTAATCAGATGTCTACATAAAACCTTAAAATATTAGCATAAAGCTAGATACACAGATATTACGGCAAAAGACAAGGTATAAACATTTTTAATATTGATATAAATGTTTATATATATATATATATATATATATATATATATATATATATATATATATATATATATATATATATATGTGTATATATATATATATATATATATATATATATATATATATATATATATATATATATATATATATATATATATATATATATATATATATATATATATATATATATATATATATATATATATATATATATATATATATATATAGTTGAAGTCAGAATTATTATTAATAATATTATTATTATTTAAAGATTTTCTCAACACATTTCTAATCATAATAGTTTTATTAACGCATCTCTAATAACTGATTTATTTTATCTTTGCCATGATGACAGTAAATAATATTTGACTAGATATTCTTCTAGACACTTCTATTAGTTTAACTAGGCAGGTTAGGGTAATTAGGCAAGTTATTGTATAACGATGGTTTTAGCTTAAAGGGGCTAATAATTTTCCTTAAAATGCTGTTTAAAAAATTAAAAACTGCTTTTATTCTAACTGAAATAAAACAAATAAGATTTTCTACAGAAGAAAAAATATTATCAGACATACTTTGAACATTTGCTGAATCTGTTAAACATCATTTGGGAAATATTTGAAAAAACAAAAAATAAAATAAAAAGCGGGGCTAATAATTCTGACTTTAACTGAATTATATATATTATTATATTTATTATATTTATATTAATGAAGTAAGAATTATTAGCCCCTGTTTATTTTTTCCCCAATTTCTGTTTAACAGAGAGCAGATTTCTTCTACACATTTCTAATAACTCATTTCTAATAACTGATTTATTTTATCTTTGCTATGATGACAGTAAATAATATAGATAATATATTAAAAATATAATATAAAAATATAGCTTAAAGGGGCTAATAATTTTGGCCTTAAATTGTTTTTGTTTTTTTAACTGCTTTTAATCTAGCCTAAATAAAACAAATAAGAATTTCTCCAGAAGAAAATAAATATTATCAGACATACTGTGAAAATTTCCTTGCTCTTTTAAACATCATTTGGGAAATATTTAACAAAGAAAATAAATCAAAGGGGGGCGAATAATTCCTACTTCAACTGAATATTAATTAAACATAAAATATTAAGGTTGGTTTTTTGGTTTTTGTTGTTGTAACTAATTTTAAATATGTAATTTGAACAAGCAGCAAAACTAATATCTTTGAGTATATAAATAATTAAAGTTGTATGCCGTACATACATATATATATATATATATATATATATATATATATATATATATATATATATATATATATATATATATATATATATATATGCATCAAAATATTTTTTAATAGTTTTGTTTTAATGTGTGTGTATCACATATACACTCACCGGCCACTTTAATAGGTACATCTTACTAGTACCGGGTTGGACCCCCTATTGCCATCAGACCTGCTTTAACTCTTTATGGCATAGATTTACACTCCTGTTCTTAGCAAGTGATGTGGTCTTCTGCTGCTGTAGCCTATCTGCGTCAAGGTTGGACGTGTTGTGCGTTCAGAGATGCTCTTTTGCAGACCTCGGTTGTAACGAGTGCTCATTTGAGTTACTGTTGCCTTTCTATCGCTTGTAACCAGTCTGGCCATTCTCCTCTGACCTCTGGCATCAACAAGGCCTCTGTTTCCGCAGTAGATCAGCAGTTTCTAAAATACTCAGAGCAGCCCGTCTGGCACCAACAACCATGCCACGTTCAGAGTCATTTAAATTCCCTTTCTTCCCCATTCTGATGCTCGGTTTGTACTGCAGCAGATCGTCTTGATCATGTCTACATGCCTAAATGCATTGAGTTGCTGCCATGTGATTGACTGATTAGAAGTTTGCCCTAACGAGCAGTTGGACAGGTGTACCTAATAAAGTGGCCGGTAAGTGCACATAACGTATAAATATTTATTTTATATAAAAAATTATATATATATATATATATATATATATATATATATATATATATATATATATATATAATGTTATATGTGTTATATATCTAGAAGAGCTGTAATTTACTGAACTTTTTCTGAGACGGTCGCACCATTGGACAGTTTTGAGATTGGGTTTGAGACAACACAGCAATTTTTATACCAAGAGGTCTATTAATTGCATTTTAAATAATGATAATACTAACAATATTCATTTTTGTCGTGTGTGGCATTGAAAATGTGACGTCAACAACCCATACTTTACACACATTTACACAAGTAATAAATACACTGAATGATGAGCTCAAAAATTGGCCCACCCATAACCAACATTGCGATCTGTTACTCACACCGACCCTTACAACGCTCCCCTCATCACTGGATTCTCGAGGCATTGTGGAGTCTGTCAATAGAAGTCCACCAATTCCTCAAACCCCAATCTTTCTATACGGTGCAGGGAATTCCAGAGCTGCTTCAGGAGGAGCACACGTCCTCAAGCATGCTGGTGTTTCAATGCAGTTCCAGGGTGACAGCAGAAGGAAGCCTGTCAGATTGGGATCATGTTGAGCCTTTGTGATTCCTTCCTAATGTCCCGTCAGCAAATGTCAGAGAGGGGACGAGTACTAACGTCTTGGAATCTGGCAAGTCCTTGTGAACTATTTCCTTTTGTCTCCAGCTGTTTGCTGCTTTATAGAGTTGCTTTCTAGCCTTTAACTTCATTTCAAGTTTATGTGTAGTGATTTTCACAATAATTATTCTTTCAAAGCAGCTCTAAAAGTGCACATTATTGTATTATAAGCAGAATCAGAAAAGTCAAGTTACTTTATTAGTTACTAATATGTTTAATTAACCAGTAACAATTAGCAGTTAAAGTTATTATATATAATTAAATAAATCAAATGATTGTACAAGAGATATTAAAGATCAAATGCAGCAATAAAATTAACAACCCAGGCTCATTCTGGAAACGTAGCCCCACGGATGTTTCTGGAGACCGCGAAGTACGTCCCGGGAGGTATTTCCCGAGCTGGTTTAAGCTGGTTCTTGCAGTCATAAGCTGGTATGAGCTGATTCTTGCTGGCCATGAGCTGGTTTAAGATGCCTCTTTACTGGTTCTTGCTGGTCATAAGCTGGTTTAAGCTGGTTCTTGCGGTCATAAGTTGGTATGAACTGGTTCTTGCTGGTCATGAGCTGGTTTAAGCTGGTTATTGCAGTCATAAGCTGGTATGAACTTGTTTTTGCTGGTCATGAGCTGGTTTAAGATGGCTTTTTACTGTTTCTTGCTGGACATGAGCTGGTTTAAAAAGGTTCTTGCAGTCATAAGCTGGTATGAACTGGTTCTTGCTGGTCATGAGCTGGTTTAAGCTGGTTCTTGCGGTCATAAGCTGGTATGAACTGGTTATTGTTAGTCATGAGCTGGTTTAAGCTGGTTCTTGCAGTCATAAGCTGGTATGAACTTGTTTTTGCTGGTCATGAGCTGGTTTAAGATGGCTTTTTACTGTTTCTTGCTGGACAGAAGCTGGTTTAAAAGGTTCTTGCAGTCATTAGCTGGTATGAACTGGTTCTTGCTGGTCATGAGCTGGTTTAAGCTGGTTCTTGCGGTCATAAGCTGGTATGAACTGGTTCTTGTTGGTCATGAGCTGGTTTAAGCTGGTTCTTGCGGTCATAAGCTGGTATGAACTGGTTCTTGCTGGTCATGAGCTGGTTTAAGCTGGTTATTGCAGTCATAAGCTGGTATGAACTTGTTTTTGCTGGTCATGAGCTGGTTTAAGATGGCTTTTTACTGTTTCTTGCTGGACATGAGCTGGTTTAAAAAGGTTCTTGCAGTCATAAGCTGGTATGAACTGGTTCTTGCTGGTCATGAGCTGGTTTAAGCTGGTTCTTGCGGTCATAAGCTGGTATGAACTGGTTATTGTTAGTCATGAGCTGGTTTAAGCTGGTTCTTGCAGTCATAAGCTGGTATGAACTTGTTTTTGCTGGTCATGAGCTGGTTTAAGATGGCTTTTTAC